GTAAATGAAAACCAGCAAAATGTTCGGCACTTATGTGCTAAAAAACAAATGCTGAATCTTAGAGTAAGGACTTTATGACCCCTGTTCTGTGCAAGATTTCTTAGAATGGTGTTACTATCCAGTGGGCCATCTACTCTAATGAAAGCCTCACAGGGCTGAGGAATTTAGTGCCCTAACCTTGGAGCCGCTGGTGCATGGTGTTTTGTTTGAGGTCGATATATTTGGAAAGATTAGCGGAAGATGAATTATTTGCCAGTTTCCAAGTAGGCAGATGTGAAGGTTTTCTGTTAGGATATTTTTGCTCTCTGGCACCAGCGGTCAGAGATGAAATAATTTGCCATCAGACAGATGTTCTGAAGAGCTAATTAAAAAACTGACAATTACCCAAGACCTCAGATAGTTAGATTTATATGCCTTTATCTACAGGAAGATCAGAATCAGTGCAGCTTAAAATCACTGCCTTAAGTGATATTTCCACAAAGTTCACTATTGAACTAAAAAGGAGTGCCTTTAAAGATATTCCTAATTATACAAGTGTGTCTCAAACCTGGATGCCCATTTCAAGAAGTGGAGAACCTTTTAAAAAATACCCATGTTGGGCCCCATTCCAGATAAATTATAACAATATCTGGGAGGAGAGCCCTGGTACCAATTATTTTTAACTTTCCCCAGTGAGTTGAATATGCAGCCAGGATTGAGACCTACTGATTTATAAATGAAATTTATTTTCATAGCTCTTTTAATCCTGGGAGACACAGTAAGGTAATGTATGGGAACTGGATAGGAAGTGGAGTTAGGCCAGGCTTGGTTGGAATGACAGATTGACCAAGACCTTGTTCTGCTCTGGGCATAATTTTGTTAAAGGTTAAAGTCTCCTTTCCTTTAACACATGGCTATTCACTCTTTAACAGATTTTTGTGAGGGTAGGATGTGAATATAATTTCATAAGTCAAACACCTACTATATGCCCAGCGTAGACACTCAATAATAACTGGTGGTTACCACCATTTGTTTTTACTAAAGTGCTTTATTGGGAATTTCAAAGCCTGTTTCCCAGGCATGCTCACTGATATAAATGAAAAGATTCTGAGCAGAGGCACAGAGATGAGCATACATCAACCTAAAGCAGTCCGCACAATAGACCATCTTGTCATGATGTAAATATGTAAATAAACCACAGGTTCAGTCTAAGTGTACTTCTCTTGGAAGTCATAGAAAGTATGAATTTCCTTTTTAGCCAAAAGATGTTCCTAGAGATGGTATTACTACTTTCTAGAATAAATGCAAATAAAAAGCCCCAGGAAGTATTTCCCACTTAAGTCAGCAGCTCTATGTCTTCACAATCACCTACAAATTGTGTGTTTGTTTGTGTACTTGGGTCCCAAGCAGCTCAATCAATTATATTGCAATATAATTGCCCACCCAATAGGTCTGAGCCTGTAGTTCTATCAGGTCAGGTTGGAGGAACCATGCTGGCCTTGGGCAGAGGGAGTGGGACGTTGGTTCTATATTGCTATTCCCTTTCCTAGTCTAGGCACTTGGCTGTGACTTCTGTGGTGTACCGAAGGATGAGCATTAGGAACCAGCCTTGCCCGAGGCCCTGACTACATGCTCCTATTCTGTTTATACTGGAAACGTATCTCCTGCCCATGCTGTTCCTTTATTTGGGGAACTTCTTCTTCCTCCATATCTCCATGCTGACCATGTGACTGTCCTGTGTTGAAATCAGTGACAATGTGGCTCCTTCCCAGTGCATATCTTGGGGGAGCTGAGACAGGGTCTGGCTCAGAGCCTCTGCTCTAACCACTATGCACCTGGATTTTTGTAGTAAGTATATGGTGAATGTTAGTGTTTACTCTTCTCGCTGGGCTCATAGCTGGCAATCCCACTTCCTATTGTGTATCTTGGGGCCAGCCACTTACCCCTTCCCAATCTCTGTCCTCAGCTGCAAAATGAAGGAATAGAACACACACATAATGGTGTTCTGAAGATTAAAGGAGAAGAATATATAGATAACATTTATTGAATGTATCCTCTATGCCCTTGTCTAAGTATTTGTCTAAGCATTTCATATGTGCTATTAACATTATTAACTTACAATCACCTTGAAAGTAGATCTCTTAGTTCCCTTTTTACAGATGAGGAAACTGAGGCAGGGAATAGAAAGGAGTATTTCCAAGGTTATACAACCAAAAAGTGGGAGAGCTGAGAGAAGAGTTTGACTTCAGGCCTGTGCTCTAAAACACTGTACACCATGCCTTTGTGTAGTTTGTATATGGTAAGTGTAGTGGTATATAATGGGTTTGCTTTTCTTTCTGGCTTCCTCTTGAAATCTCTAATCTGACATAGGACTACCACAGCCAGCAGCACCATGGTACACATGAGAAGTATTTACTAAATACTTACCGATAGATGAAGGGATAAAACAGAGTGCTAAGCATCGTATAGTTTTGTCTGGTAATGGATTTGTAACCTGGTATTGTGTTTATTGACATGTCACCTGCAGAACAACCTCAGTGACTACCTGGCTAACCTAGGATCCAAGCCTCTATAGTGATCTGGCTCAAGATGCCATTTCCAACATTACTCTTCTCTTTACCTAAACCTTGATAGTGTATAAGCTCAGTCAAGAACAGGAATTCTTTTATTGTGTTTTTCTTTATATGTCTAGTACTTAGTGGGAATCTAAAGAATATTAATTGAATGAATAAATGTGGCTCAGTCACCATGAACTGCCACTTGCTCCTATATACAGTCTGAAAGCAGGCTCTGATGGAACTAGGCATGGCCCCATGTCCTAGTCCTGACACCAACTAGCCTTTTTTCAGTGCGTTAACCCATCAGTTTTATCTTATCTTTTACCAAAGTGACTGTCTAGGCTGCCATTAATTGGGCTTAGGTTTTAGTTGTTTTTCTCATAATGATGATAGATTTGTATTGATTTGTCTACACCAGCATTTTACTCTCCGAGTTATTAGATTTTGCCACTTTGCATATTAATGAAAGAAAACCCCATTTAACTGGCATGTTCGATGTGAGTGGGGGTTAAAAAAATATGATAGCCAAAACTAACTTATATTGTACATGAAGGAGGGCCCTTTTCAATGCTTAAAACTAGATTTTCCTGTCATAGAAACATGTTTTTTTTTTTCCCCTCTAACATATGAAGGAGAAAGGAACTAAGATTCATTTAGCATCTTTTGGGCCTAATGCTGGGGTAAAAACTTTTTATTTGTTATTGCATTTGCTCTTTGAAACAATCTTGAAAAGGAAAATGGCGTAGTAAGACCCAGGCTTTGATGTCAAAAAGACTGGGTCTGAGTTCTGGCCCTTCAACCCATCCACTGTGTGATCTTGGGAAGTTTCTTAATCTCTCTAACCTTCAGTTTTATTTTCTATAAACTGATGTGATGATAACTCAGGGTTGATGTTTGGGAAGGGATTTTGTTGTCTCCTTCCCCAACTCACAAGCAATATTCAACTGGATACTAAAGTATTGGTTTAGTAATGGCTGGGCCAGCACTCCATGACCTCCCGAACGTGAGTCTTATTTAGGGAGATGTGTTGGCCCAGGAAGCCAAGACCCGCAAGGCTAAGTCAGACTACATGCACTCCCCACTGTCCTTGCATCTGAGGCATTAACGGACCTGGTCCTGGCTTCCAATTGGTCACATAAACAAGTGACTGGACTCAAGAGCAAAGCATTGAGCTGGTTGTGCCCCTACCTTGGAGAGATTACTGTCTGGGAGCAGATGATTCAAGTGTGACCTGTGGGCATGACACCAAGAAGAGGAAGAGTGCTGGAAAGCATGCCAAGCATGGGCCGTGACTTGTAGGCATGGGAACCTGCACAGCAGAGAAGAGGGCGGAAGGCAGCTATTCTGTATTGACCAACTTCCCCAGCATGAGGCAGGTACTTGAGCTGAAGGCAGACAGGCCCCCTTTCTCACACACCCCCAACAATAACAACAAAATCACTAAGAACAGAAAACAAACCCTGGGATTTTAAAGGATTATGTATACAAAGTACCCAGCATGTTCACACTGTGAAGGGAAGCAACTTTTTATTAGATAGATAAGTATTATTAAGATGATTGTATGGATGAGGAAAGGGGAGGCTCAGGGACATGAATACGGGTCTTGTAAAAAGACAAGGCCACATCACAAAAATGCACAAAAGCAACCAGAACTTAACTTTGTTTTAGATATATGACCATTAGGCATTAGTCAGAAATATCATTTGGAAAAAATCACTGCCTCTTACAGTTTCCATGTAATATGACTTCATACAGTGATCTAAAAATATCGGTGTCCCCCCCAAAAAATGTATATTTACACTTTGAATAATTATAAAGGCAGTGTTGATTAAAGTACATATCATTTTCAAAATTGAACCATCAGCTGTCAAAGTGTGTATACATTTTTGGGGGGACACCTTGTATATCAACAACTTTGACACACATACACAAAGTAGGGATAAGTAGTTATACTTCAAATTGGACAAGGTTTTATAGTAAAACAATTAGACAAGGACGTCCTTATCTGCTTACACTGAATATGAGGAAACACATCAGAGAGGTTCTACAAATTGTGATAAAAACAGTCAAATTTGACTTCACTCTAGATCCAGATTTTGTGTTTGGTACACTGGAAGTAAATATTTTGCAATATGACGTTATAGTGTAAGAGTATGTGAAAAATAAGAAAACTGCCCTCTAACATACATTCAACCTATTAAGTGAGCCTACAAAACACTATCTCTCCTGCCTGACAGACCAACAGAAGCACGTTTACCTTTGTGAAGGTCTCAAAAGCAAAGCGCTTTGACAGAATACATGAAAGTGAAGGGAAGAGAAAGAGGACGCGTGGGCAGCCTATGGGAAGGGATGTTTAAATGAGTTGCCAGAAATATTGCCCTCATGTCACATAAAAGTCTCTGCTCCAGCATCATCTAGAATACCGAGTAAGAAAAGCTGCTTTGTTTTGTTTTTTCCCTTTAGGAAAACATAAACATCGACGAAGCCTCCAGGTGCCTGGTGAAGCACATCCTCGCCAACGAGTGTGAGCTGATGGAGTCGATCGAGCCGGACGTCGTGAAGCCGCACCTCACGCCACCCAGGGCGCTCAGCTGCTCCAGCTGTGCCAAGTCCTAGTGGGCACTGTGCTGGCACATGCTGCACATCACCCCATTCTCTCAGCCGTGGTGCCTCAGCTTTTACCATTTTGGGAAAATGTCATGATAGGGACACACAGATGACATGCCGAAGATCTATGCCTCTATCTTTCCTATGTGAGAGAAATAGCAAATGTGTTTTTAATGTCTGCCTCCCCCCCCTCCCCATTCCTACCCACACCACCCAGCATCAGCAACTGTGTTTACAAGTATTTAGACTATTTAGTGTGTTAAAAAATTATGTCTGGTAGCTGACCACCCTTCTGCAGGGCGAGCTTGGGCCGTGCTATTTGCTTCTTTGCATCAGCCAAGGCCTCAGGTTTTCAAGAGAAAGGGGAGAAGGGCAGACTCGCTGGCAAGTTGAGCACTGGCTTTTGCTTTGCCACTGGTATGTTGCCCAGGCTTGAATATATTCTCTGCTGCTCTGACCGGCCTCTTAAGTCGAAATGGTCTTTTCTCCAGACATGACCTCCATTCCCAGCAAGCCTAGGAGTTTCCTCGGATTGAGCTCTTCGGAGTCATGCACACAGGCTTCCTGTGCTGTTGTTGCTTTTATTGTCACTTGCATGCCCTGAATGTTGGTTTAACTGGAAAATGTATGAAAAAGATCCGCCCCCTGTTTGTGCCCTTTTGTTAGCTTTCTCTGACTCACACTGTGGGACTCTGTACATGTAATATATATTGTATATATTTTCACAAGTGAAAAATAAAACATTAGCGGACTCTGTTTCCTTATTTCTGAGAATGCTCCAAGTTTCTTAGTATTGTGAACTTTTTGGGGGACTGGGTATCCATGGTTCTCAAGACTCATTTCTAAAATTCTGTTTCAAACAGGAGATGGGACATGTGCATTTAAAGGAACTGTTGAGCACTATTAAAACTGAGATGAGTCATTCCATCTATACCTACTCTTCATATCGACATTTAGGCCAAGAAAGTAAGTAGTGTATACAAATTTCTTTGGTTAAGCAGAGAAATATAGCGTCAGATAATCTGATCAATAAAGATGCCAGACCAGTTCACACACACACACACACAGCTAAAATATGCATGGTGATATCTTGCTTTACACAGTGGCTGTGGTGCTGATATGGTCCAGGTAGCTACGACATTTCAATGGCATTATTTTCCATTGATGTTCATCAGATACTCAGGAGTTTTATCTTTTGAAACAGATGTTTTGGTGTGTCCTACCCTTATTATTGTGGAATTCACTGTTTCCATAAGCACCAACCACACAGCTTCTTATTGTGTTTGTGACCCTTTTCGTGAGGGCATTCTCTGATCTCTGGAGCACCTGATCCTAAGGCAGGTTGACCAGAAGTTCCAGAGAGTTCATATCTCCAGGAGCAGCCCTCAACTTATAACAGCACGAATTCTGGGATAAATACCCTAGGTCTTCATCCCTCAGGAAAAGACGATCCTGGAGCATGCACTATGCAATGTCTCAGAACTTCCCAGTGGTAATAAGTCCCTGGTTCCCACAGGGGAAACCTTCTTTCCTTCTCATCCTTTATTAGTTTCCTTTCTTTCTATCATCACTCCCCCACTCCTCTACTGGTGTTTTCTGGGTTCACTTCCAAAATAAACTACTTTCTCTGAAATCCTTGTTCAGGGTCTTATGGAGGAACCCAAGCCCAGCCTAAGTTATTCAGAACTGAGATGGCCTAGGAAGCAACTCCTCAATACCAGCTTCTTGAAATGAATCAAGCACCACCCAGGCAGTAGCAAGGACCCCCTTGCTGGTGCATAATGGCATGGGACTGATCCCTGGCAAAATGTAGCCGCATAATTACTAAGACTCCTATCAGGGATAGAATATAGATGGAGGAATTATCTTGCTCTTGGGTTGAAAAGATATGGGATTGTGGAGTTAGTTAACCTCCACAGAAATTTGTTAGGAAAAAAAATTATAGACTTGGTTAGTCAACATTCAATTCAGGATTTGAGGTGAAAGCTTGAAAACCTCCAACCAATAATCAAAATAACCCTCCTTTTCTGAGCTACAGGATAGACCATGCTGAAAACCCCACCTGAGATTTCACTTTCAGAGAAGCAGAGTTGTGTAGGAGGTTGAATTCACAAAGCTAGTAAGTCTTAGCCATTAAAACCAGGATCCTTTTCAGGAAGGAGTTGGACACTGAAGGAGAGGAGATAGTTGGGTGCATGATCTTATGAAGACAGCCAATGGACTCATGAGAGCCGCACCTCAGTAGGAAGTTTGATACGGTGGTGCTTTACCTTGTTAAGTTCTACTCCCACCTCCCCTCAGGGCTTCTGGACAAATAACTAGAATCAATTCTCAGCATGACCTGAGCAGGAAGGCATGACATATGCTGCAGGGTGAAATGGATCATTCATTAATCAAGTGAACTATAGAACCTGGCTGGTAAGAACTAGTAGGATTCTGAGAACATTCTAAGAAACTAATCTTGAGATGCTGGATAAGGGAGGACAGAATGTAAGACCAAATAATAAATAATCTTTTTCTATAAAACTACTCTTTCATGAGTTAATTTTTAACAGTCTGACAAGTACACTTGGAGCTGATCCCAATGTGCTACTGGAATAGCTATTTAAAGCTTGGAAACAATGTTGGCTTAAAATAAATGATGTAGAGCTGCCAGAACTACTTCAAAGTACTGGAGAAGAGCTCCAAGGTCCCCGAGAGGTGGGCATGTTATAATGTGTTTATGTTGTGATGCCAGAGAAATTACCAGCTAATTATGTTCCCCAGGAGAGACCATAAGACACTCCCTTCACTGAAGCAATAAGGAGCCCAAAAAGAGGGACACCAGCCTCAATGAGAAGCTCAGTGGTGACTGTTCTCTGTAGACCAGGTCTGACATTGTAACTATGTTGCTGTTTTTCACTTGGAATGACACCCTGCATGGTTGAGGCTGAAGTTGTGGTGCTATTACATGCTGTTAGTATATTTAGTTTTTTGTGTCCTGGATAGCTAGCTTCGTGAAGTGGAAGTAGGCATGATGCCCATCGCCCTGCCCCCCACTCTCACTTTTACTAATTCACTTAAGAAAGTGAGCTTCCCCTTTTTACAACTTCAGGATCTACAGAGTTAGAGGCTTAGAAAGCTCTACCAGGAGACATAATATAGGTTCCATTAAATCTACAGCTTCACCTGCCACCTGGTTATTGTTGGTTCCCCATGCCCACAGGCCAGGAGTTAGAGAAGACAGTTACTCTGCAGGCAGAGGTAGTTCATCCTAATTGCCAAGAGGACCTACGGTGGCTGCTAAATAATGGAGCTGGGAGGAGTATGTCTGGAAATCATGGGACTCAGTGAGGCACCGCTTGATGCTTCCAGGCCTGGTGAGAACCTAAAGGGTGATTGCAACAACAACATCTGTGATAAGGTAGTGTTTTACCTTGTTAAATTCTACTCCCATCTTCCCTCATTGCTTTGGGACAAATAACTAGAGAATAAGTAACTGGGTTACGAGGAGGACAGGTAACCTGAGACTCAATCCCTCAGGTATTGAAGACTGCATTATTGTGCCAGCGATGAACCTAGACTAGAAGCAGGTTGGTCAAGGGATGGATAGAAGTGGTAAAGGATGGAAATGATAAATATCAATTATGGTCTCAAGATCAAGTACAACAGGGGAGACTAGCTTGGCCCACCAAAGTACACTTTGTAATCTCAATCTCTCTCCCCCGCTTCGTTTGATGCTTCCAGGCCTAGTGAGAACCTAAAGGGTGATTGCAACAACATCTATGATAAGGTGGTGTTTTACCTTGTTAAGTTCTACTCCCATCTTCCCTCATTGCTTCGGGACAAATAACTAGAGAATAAGTAACTGGGTTACAAGGAGGACAGGTAACCTGAGTGAGACTCAGTCCCTCAGGCATTATTGCACCAGCGATGAACTAGAAGCAGGTTGGTGAAGGGATAGAAGTGGTAAAGGATGGAAATGATAAATATCAATTATGGTCTCAAGATCAAGTACAACAGGGGAGACTAGCTTGGCCCACCAAAGTACACTTTGTAATCTCAATCTCTCTCCTCTGCTCCCTTCTCCCCTAGTGACTTCCTTAAAAATATTGATGAAAGCACAGAAAGTCCAAGGTGTGCACTAGACAATAGCAGAAGGAATGTCTGTGTCCTCTCAGCATACGTCTAAAAGCTTTCTATGAATGCGTGGAATGTATTTGTCTTGCATGCCGGACAGGTCAGAGTGCTATAAAGTTAACACCTCCAAGAGCAGTCGCATCTAAAACTGACATAAATCGGTAAAGTCCAGCTTCCTCGCCCCTCAGGTGCGATAATCTGAGGCTTGCTCCGTACACTCTTTCAGATGTCCCCAGTGGGACTGAGGCAAAGTTTCACACCGTGCTAACCTGCTCACTGCACAACTTTCTGGGTTTCCTTCCGTTCCCTGTCTCACTACTCCTCTATCCTTGCTTCCAAAGATAACGCCCCAGTGAAGCGCTTTTCATTCTTGAGTGAGCTTCAGCTGTAGGTAGTACTTAACACAGTGCATCTGAACAATAACTTTTATTCCAATGGAATCTCTAATCTGTTTTTTTCCCCTATATATCCACTGAAATGTAGTTCTGAGATATGTATTATGAGGTCAGAACTAAATGTCTTCTAATCCTCATCCACTACAGAAAAGTGTGATTTGTTCAGTCTTCAAAGTGAATATTCATTGATTCACGGATCCCTTTAATTCCTCACTAAGTATTTGTCGAATAG